CCCGTGACCAATCTCAAAAGGATTAAAGTATTATATTGCTAGCTCAAAATATAAAGAATTATAAAATATAACCTAATTACTGTGTTTCACTAAAAAGAAGACAATTACTCTCTTTTTACCTCTCAGTTCAAGTTATTTGTGAAATTTGTAGTGAAATGTAGATTGTTCAGTTGTGAACTTTTACATATTCAGAGTAAGTCTAAAAGTGGCAACACAAGCACAGCTGATGAAGAGGAACAGGATGCATGGGTCATTCACAGGAATCTGAAAGAGTGGATTGACAATTTTGAAGAGGCTGTCACAAATCAGTACACGCCAGAAGTTCAGCTTCTAGCAGGGGTTATGAGAGTTGATGTAAGTTTCGATATAGTTTCAGTTTTGTGTTTATGTCTCATGGAAATATATCTACTTTCACTTACCATTCATTATTTTACCATTGTCTTTCACTTACCATTCAACATTCATCTGTTGTATTTTTTTCTGCTTAGCAGCCAGAATGTTTGATGCTTTGATTTGTACAACATAAATATTATTGTAACAAAGAAATTAGATTCTTATTATGTATACTGAGGTGATTTTTGTTATGTTCATTGACTGATTACTCTTATTGGGAACTTGTTCAAGTTAAATTTTCCTGTTTAAAACTAGAAACATAGGTGATTAGCTTTATTATTCTCTGTTGTTCTACGCAGAATGAACTTGTATCAGAACAGTTACAGGCTCAATTATGTAAAGTAGCTGAAGTCTCCAAAACTCAAAGATGTCTAGTTTCTGCCCAGCACATTAAAAAGGAACAGGTCATTGTGGAATACAAAGGACGTTTCCTGACTTTATCACAGTTTCACGGACAGCATCCTGTTTTTAGGAGTAGGTGAGTCACCGCAGGGGTACTTTTAAAATACTCCTTTCTGTATTGTAAAATGAATTACATAGGTTGTGTAAAGGGAAGCAAAAAATCTGCAAATGAATATATGAACGTCAAATTTGCAAATTATAAAACAATGAGTGTAAGAATTGTTTATATTACTGACCTTTGAAGTGTTAAACTTTGACGCACCACACATTAAGCAAGCTGTATTTTCCATAATCACTTAATCCTATAAGACCAGCACCATTTTTAAATTTCTTTCTGCAAATGTTACTGTGTTACATTCAAAATTTAATTAAATCACTTTGTCATGATATAAAAGACTGTTTGGTTTAAATATTAGTGATTAATTTATATTTGTGAGTAAATATTTCATTATTTTTAAGTTTTGTTATGATAAAAGTTAAAAGCAGAAGATTGTGGAAGGTTTTTTAAAAACTCATTGGTGTCGAGAATATAGAAAGTGGCTAAATGACTATGTAATAGAGATATAAATAGTGTGAGATGAGCAGGAAGCAGCAAACAGACAGATAAAAGCAAAGAGAATATAGTAGGTGTGAAGTTAAGTAACGTAAAAGTGATAGGCCTAACGTTTATTATATATTAGAGCGAAACTAACAGTGGAAAAGGAAATAAGAAAAAATAAGTTTATTCCATTAAAGCAAAATTCTAAAGTAATTGAATCAGCTTCAGTGCACTTTAACAAAAGAAATATAGGATCTTTAGAAGAGAGAAGACCACAATCGTAAGAGAATCACACCAGACTAATATTGCGATAGTATTAGAGAAAATAGTTCGGCTTATCAACTGAGATTCGAAAGTAATTGAACAGGCCTAAGTAGATGACTTTTGATAAGAAGAGGGGAACTATACATATACTAATATAATGTTTAAGATATGCTTGTATTCTCTATAGTGTGAATACTTTACTGTACATACTTTTAACTTGTTCCGAACATATATATTATTTGAAAACAAGTAAAGTTTGTGCTGTTTATTAATTGTTGAATTTATTGCTAACAAGTCACAGGCTCCAACTTTAGAACTAGAAGAATCTTTAGCCCAACAGCAACATAGTATATATTTATACTATTAAGAAATATAAGTAAAAGCCATTTAGTTTGACAAGTAGCAAAACAAAAAAGGACCCATATACATATATAATATTATTATTTTTAAATTCTGACACTTTCTATAAATGTATTTCAATGAAACTATTATTAACAACTACGTTATAATTCAAAGTTTTATATTATCTAAGTTATTATTCCTTTATTTCAAAATAAACCTTTAAAACAGTAATTTCAAACTGTGCTTTTTCTCTCACATAAAGTTGTCATGGTTACAAACCTCAACCTTAAGATCTGGTATAGAAGAAACTGTACATGTAAATGTAGATGTTTTCTCTGAGTCGTTCAAAGTATTATGTTTACAGGTTATTTACAAGTAATTTGAGCACATTCCAAGAACTTGAACCAGACATAATGGTTGTAAAAGCTTCCTCAGTTTCAGATAAACCACACCCACTTGCAGAGTAGAGGCTATGTTGCTATGTGACAGTTTTAAGTTGAATTCCATGCTTATAGGCAATAAAAATAGCTAATTTCATGCTGTATTTCCTAACTAGGTTAGGAAAGTTAATTGATATATGTGTTTTACAGAGGAAGTCGAAAAACGCTTAGTCCATTGTTGAAAGGGGCGTCCCTAGCACTTGGCTATTTTTTTCTTGCATTGTACATATTAATTTGATAGACAGTGAAATTGCATTTAGGTTTTACATTCATATTTTAGTATTATTTGTGTTTTAAAATTCATATTTGAAAGGTCACTTTGCTAGTCATGCATTATAAAAAGAGACAAGAGCAAACATTATGCCATAAGCTGAATCACACTCTTTGCCAGTCATAATGTTATATCACACGCGGGTACCTGTTGAAGTGTGCAGACTTACATAATAAAAGATATAGAAGGAAAATAAAACATTAAAAATGAAAAATTTGTGAAAAGGTAAAAACTGGAAATTACGCATATGACCCAAAAAAGGTAATTACTCATTTCCAGTTCTTAATTTTAAACATTTCATTGCACTAGACATTGTTGATAATAGGTAGAGTTATAGAGAAATATAATATAAATATTTACTTTAAATACTTTTGATATTCATTTAGGAGGTTCTAGATATTATGTAAGTGAAATGTGAAAACTGTAAGGTAAAAAATAGTATTTTTATACTTAACACAAAAATCACCATGCAGGTTCAGAGTTTGATTGTAGATAACTACATTAATTAATGAATTGAGCAAAATAAGTCGATATAAAATATTTTTCTCAACTACATACTTTTAGGAAAGTTTTTGTCAAATTTCAAACACTTTCATCTACTAGTTTTATTTTTTGGTGCAAAATATGACGAAAGCGATGTTACCTATGGGCAGTGCCCATAGCCGGCAGTCATAGGGTTAAGTAGTTGTGAGCTACTGCTAAGAAGGTAGAGATATGATATTCAACTTGATACAAACTAACTGTTGGATTAGCTGAATGGCATGAGAAGTTAGATATACCAATATAGTTATAATAATGTTGTACTCTGTATTATACCAAGAAAATATTAACTTTTAATATGGGCTTGGTCAATTTGACCCACTTTGTGACCTTTTCGTACTCGTTTAAAGGCTTTGTAGATTTAATACTTATAACTCTCAATATAGTATGTATATCTTCATGAAAAATGCCAGTTTTCAGTTGATATTGTAAGTCTTTCACATACAAAAATCATATTTTTTAGTGAAGTATTTTTAATAAAATAAAGATTTGTCCATGAATATATTGAGTATTTGTTTTGAACAGTTTGTGTGCATAGTAACTTTCAAAATACTTTTCCTCATCTCAAAAATCTCAAATTTCCTTTGTGTAATCCTTAAAACCGTGTAAATGCATTTCAAACATTTTGTTTTCAGTAACACTGTATAGTTTATCTGTTATTTTCTCTACCTTATCTCAAAACAGGATTGCTCAATTCAACCGACCTCGTAACCACCAAAACAAAATCGAAATAAACCTTAATTACACATTTTTCTTTCTAGAATAACATGAAACTACATTTGTTTATCCTAAGTAGCTTTAAACTCATAACAGTATACATCTATTTACTATCAAATATTTATTACCCTTTGAACCATGTCTAACTACTATCCACGCCATTATAAGTTGTAAATCGCTCGGGGAGCATGAACATCACGTCACACTATTGAATTACATTACCCATGAGCTGTTCGCATGCGTGCTTCTTGAACCATTTTAATTATATTATTATTATTTATTTTACATAATCTAGTCTTAAATAAATTAAAAAGATCCGTATATGATAATAATAAATAAAAAATAAATATGAAAAACAAGAAATAAAGTACTTACCCAATCTTCTTTTTTTCTTGCCCTCGATTGTCGAAGACAGTTAAGCCTGATTTTTTATAGTAATGAAAGTAATGCATTTAATAATTTTTATTTAATTAAATAA